CTGCAAAACCCCCAGAGTTTCAAGTTGCACCCCTCTTCCATGTATTCTATCCTTTGGGAACTGTGATTAACCCCAAGAGTTCATCTCTAGTTATCCTCTCATAGTTTTTAATTGGGGAGCAGGTAACCTTTACAACATAATCTGCCAAGATGCGAACCTCTGCTTTGAAGGCAAAAGATGAGGGAGAATCCTGGCATGGACTTTGAAAAACAGTGGGGCGGGGGGAGTCACTGAGAAGTGACCAGGTCCTTTTGTGGTTCACAAGCACGAGGCTGGGTTTCCACACTATCATGTGAGATGTGCCTCCCTCGATCCTTGTTCCAACACGGACCAGTTACCCATCCAACACGTGGGAATGACACTGTTCAAGTGGGTCAGCCTCATGATTTTGCCAATTTGGACTCCAGCCCCCTTCTACATCCTGGCACCTGATGTACATACTACTTGACAGGTGAGGACAACTCGATGTCCCTTTTCACCCTTAAGTCAGTCTCCTTTTCTGGAATCCCTCAGCTCACACAGCCAAGAGGAGACTCCAAGTTCTTTTTTTTTTTTCCCCTCAAATACCAATTTTCATTTTTCTAGAAGGAATACAAAACCCGACCCTGCTCAGGAGAGCTGAAGGGAAGAGCTACCCTGAAACAGATCTTCAAAATAAAATGCCATTGGTGAAGAAGAGGAGCCGAGTTTTTAGCCTTTAATTACTGAGAAACACAGGGCTTCGCTCAGAGTCATAGGTGAAGTGCAATGTACAGTGTGTTCTTAGCAAGAAAATGACTGAAGATTCAAAACTGCCTGAAAGCGGCATTAGTGAAAGCACAGAAATATGAGCCCCTTCCCTGCAGACTTCTTGGGATCCAGTGTTAACCATTAGGAGGCACAGGCTCCTGAGGATCATGGCTATTGGCAGGACTGACTTCTGATCCTGTGTCTCTGGGGTATCTCAATCAAAGAGCCTGAGCTAGCAGTTCACTTTAACTTATGATTATAAACAAAAGAGCAAGAATAGAAAAAAAAAAGTAGGGGAAATATGCGGAGGCTAGCCAGATGTAACAAACTATGTAAGTAACTGCTTGGCACTTCAAATAAGCAGGTCACATTTTCAGAGGCTGTTTCTACCACTGTAATTAGAGAAGTGCATGGGTGTTGCTAACTCTGAGGGGAAAAAAAAAATTGAGTTGGCTCATTCCCTTTTCCAGTAGTGAAAGCAGCAGATAACTGTTTCAGCTCCACTGCCCCAGAGGACGAGACCATGTGGACCATGCCTCTCCTAGATGACGGTGTTTGGAAGCTGCTTGTGAAGGACATAAGCTAGTGCCTGGAAACAAACCTCTAGACAAAACAAGTTCATCAAAGCCAGCACCACACAAGCCTACTGCCCTCCCTTCCTCTCCTTTCTCTGGTAGGGGAAAAAAAAAATGTGAGCAAGCACCAACTCTCTGTTAGTCTCAGAAGATGAAATGTGTGAGGAGATCCAACAAAGCAAAAAAAATCAAAAGGTAAATCCAAGTCACATAGCAAGGGTCACCTCTGAGCTACAGAGGGACAAGGTTGTCTTTACCTCTAAGGACCTTTGGAAAAAATATTTTTGTGACTTCTACATCTATCACACACTTCTCTTTCTTCTAGCACTGAAGACCCTCAGTGTCGTCATTTCAGGCAGCAAATTCTCACCACAGATCCTCCTGGGTGACTTGGGCTGGTGGTATCAGTTTTCCGGGTTGTTCACCTAGACTGCAATATAAATAGGAGTGGCACAGCCTCCACTAAGGGAAAGTGGGATTAACCCAATAAATGTCTCTGCAAAAAAAAAAAGTTTCCTGCTTCCAATTAGGCTGCGTCTTGGGGCAGGGAAGATGTGGGAAATAATCTTGGTGTTTTACCTGCCTGTAAATCATAATGCCTACTGAACAGCAGAGCACGAACCCAGTTCTAAGGACTGACACTCATTTATTATTTTAGTCTTCCAATTCTTATCATTTTCTAAGTCAAATGATGACAAATATTTTCCAGCTAGAGCTGTATTATGACATGAATGAGTGATTCTCCGTTGGAGCATATGCACCTCCCTAGTTTAAAAAATAAAAAGTATATTTGCTCCAGGTATTTTATCTACTAACCAAAACAATGCAGTACATTCTAGTAGCTACTATAAACACTGTCTCTTCAGGTAAGAAAACCTGGATACAAAGTCTCAGACCTCAGCTGCCATTTCTAGGGGGTGTGTCCTTAAGCCAGGGATGTATGCAAAGGAGTTTTTCTCCTAAACAATAACAACATTCTATCAAACAGAAAGAGAGAGAGGAGGGGGGAGAGGGAGAGAGAGAAAATTGAATAGAAAATTTAATGGTAGACATGGAGAGAAAGATTAGTTTTGAGGTAAGAGCCAAAATGGGAAACGATGGATAACAATATCTGTAGGAACAAAAGCACTGTCCTGAGCTAATGTATGCTTCTTAATTTACAGCCAACAGTAAAATATAATAGATTAGCATATGCCCACTAGAGGTCAAAGACAGAGAATACAGACTAAACAAAAGGTAATAAGATACAAACTTCATAAAATGTAACAAGCAGACACAAAAATATAACAAGATGATACAAACTTAATAAAATGTAAGATGTTACAAATAAGTTGATCTTGAGAAAGTTTTGTTAATTAAACTTTGTACATTTACTAGGAAAATTCTTTAAAGAAATCTGAGGTTGCATCCCTCACCAAATTAAAGAACAGTTTATGAAGCATGTAGTCACTTCTCTAATTTGTCTGGTTTATAAATCCTGCATTTCAAATATTAGGTAAATTAAGGCAATTCACAGAATAAATACAAATGGCTAAGGCACATTTGGAAAATGTTCAACATCATGAATAACCTAGAGAGGTGAAAAGAAATCTTTTTAATTTCTATTAGATGATTGGCAAAATTGAAAAGATTTATATCATCCAGTATCTCCACTAGGAGGAGGGAAAAGAAGGGGCAGGCACATTATGTTAAATTGAAACCCTTCTGGAGAGTCTCTCTGCAGACCCATGAAAATTAAAATATACACAAATATACTTCTAGGTATCTATTGTAGAAACATCTATGCTAGTGCCCAAGGATGTTCTGCATAGAAGTACTTATACTAATAAAGAACTTATCAACAATGAAAATAGCCATCAATAGAGGAATGGGTGAACAAATTGGACACACAGAGATACAATAGGTGGATCTGATATTTTGACATGGAAGGATATTCAGCAYACACTACTGGGTGAAAAAAGCAAGTTATAGACTGACTTAAAATGTTAATCTTTAAAAAAAAAACTACATATGAATAAGTAGATAAATGGATGTCTTAAACAGATGATATGGGGAGCAGGAAGAGAGAAATGAATGCAATTTCACTTTTTATTTTCTACAACTTAACACTTTTATTAGTGTCACTTTAATTTAGGTAAAAGGGAGCTATGCTAAAAGGACAATGGATGCTTTCTGAAGGAAACCACAAGAACCCCTTATAGCCAAGTATACGGCCATGCTGTGGTTTCACAACAGAACATAYTCAGATGAGGGTCTAAGAGGAACCAACTCTACTCTGAATTATTTTTTAACAAGATGGTAGTTTTAAGATAACCACCACTTTCTCATGGACAAGTAATATCTGAGAATATTCAGTAAATATTTTTCTCACAAGTTTCCATGGACTCCCACCAAATCAAAAGTGTTACCAAAATAACAATAGACGTGAATCCCATTAGTCCAGAATCTTACATCTTAATACTTTCCTAAAATCATGTTCCAGTCTAGTCCCAAACTTTACCTATAGAGTTCAGATCAACAACTCTGAGAACTAGAGAGGGTGATATCTTCCTTTCATCTCTTCCAGAGAATGGTACAACACATCTTTCTTTTTGAAAGGAATAACCCTTGTTTTCCAATGCAATTCTCAAACCTATTTATCCTATAAGGGTTTTAAGCACCTCTTGGAAATAAAAAAGGTAGAGATATTAACAACCATCATGCCATAAAATATCTATCTAATATGTGTACTAGAAAACTGAAGACACAAACTTGAAGACCCTTTAGAAGGTAGCCAGCTGACTAGCATGATTTCAAAGTTGCCAAATGACCACATGGTGCCTCTCTTTCTCTTTAATGCACTTAATATTAAACSGTGGTAGGATAATATTTTCCAGGCTAAAATGTACTTTCCACTTGCCCTACTAATAAACCTGTGCCCAGATGGGAAATAGAACCAGATCTAAACAAACATAATAAAGCAGATACAGAAGGCCAGAGAGTGAGCTAATGAACCTGTGATGCCTTCACATGCTACAAAGTGGCTTTCTAAAAGTTCAGCAAATGATATGAAGAGAATGAAAAGTTAAGATATTTGATGTATGTAAAAATGCAACTATAGATCAGAAGGAAAGCTAATAGATTTCCATCTGGGTACAAATGTCTGCTGTCAGACATTGCAACTAAGGAAGTARTCTACCACAGTCACACTGCAGCCATCAACCCTTCTCAAATCATTGATGTAACTTTAAAACAAGGGCTGCAATTGGCAATCTACATAAAACCTTACTAGAATGATGGCTGGCCCCAAATTAGCTGCAAACAGTCCAATCCAAAGGATAGGTAAAAAGAGAAGAAGAACAAAAACAAAGAGGAAGAACAAGAAAGAAATGCCACATGAATACAAAGTGATTCCATTTTTTTTCTTAACACCCACACAAAGACAGCAGTTTCTGACAAGAATGTTCTTAGCAAAAAATAAAATTACAGGAAAAGGTTTCCCCCCCCCCCAATGAGGAAAAAGCAGAACCCTATGCAGATTACTAGGCAATACTGCATGATTTTTTTAAAGGCCCAAATTTATGGCCCTCATATTTCAAAAATATCATCTAAATAACATCTTTCAGATCAAAAAGACACGGTGACTGGATATTCTGTTCCTGTTTGGAATGCTCATCTCATGATGTACTTATAAGAAAATCCAAAGCAGCAGCTTACCTTGGCACTGGAAGCCTTGTTTCCCAAACCCCCTGAAAAACAAACAAGAACAAACATCTCAGCATACGTTGCATTGGCCACTACACTGTAAGCAAGTTATGTGACAGAGTATCCTACAGAGTTAAAAGGTTGGTACATGAAATCTAGTGATTTGATAGGAAAAACATGCCTAAGGACCTGGTTACTGAGTTAAGACTCTGAAAAATAATCTAGTTTGCCTATGAAGGATCACTGAATTTTAACATATTATACTTCTAATTTTTTTAATCAATGATAGTGATACCTATATTTCAAAATAAAAATATGACTATATTCAAAGTTTGAGGTTAAATATTCAAGTAACAAAAAGGAGCTTATGATCGGAGGGAAAGGAAGTGGCTTAATTTTGTACCTAAAGACCAATTGAAAATAGTTTTACCCCTCCCTCAAGACAACTGGAAAGTGGCTTGTTGTGAGTTTGTTTAAAATATTGCCTAGAATTTGCCAAATAGCACCTCTCTTAACATTTAATTTTGGCTTAAGGAAACAGCATTTTATGAAATATCATTCCTATTGTTTGCATTTCAGATTATCATGATCTAATTTTTTATTGCAAACCAATAACATTCAAAGCACATAGAGGCTATTTTGTTCTTGTAAATGACTTTGGAAAATTTAGAGTGTAAGCAGAAAACCCCGACATGAACATTCAATTACAAATATTATTCCACTAGAATGAACTACATTCAAAATTTTCTTAGGAGGTTGACATGATCTTTTGCATTGCAGAGCATTTTAAATTTACAAAGCCCTTCATATACCTTTATAATTAACTTGGAGTCATCCTCTCCCAAAAAATCACACCTAAATCCAAATATTTAACTTTAAAATATCAGGGTTTTAATGTTCAAATAAAACTTGTAAATCAGGAATCCATAAAAGGAATAAGGGGGGGGGAGCTGAAAAAATTAAAACCATTGCAGACAACCCTGGTGAAGATTTTCCTGGAACTTCCAAGTGACAGAAGTGCTGCAAGGACTGCTCAGGGAAGGGGGAAAGTGAGAACTTAATTTTTCCCCCTCACAGTACACCTGAGCCCCTCATCAGTGCACCAGCAGCTGATCCCTTGGGGCATTGATAGAAAGACAAGGGATAGATTGGCAAATGCTGACTGTTGCTTTTCTAACTTARCGCCCAGCAAAAGCAATCAGCAGTCTGCCTTCTTTTAACAGAATCTCATGGCTGACAAGGGAGGCTGAAGACCTCGCYTAATCAAATGCAATATCCTCTCTCTGCCCTGTGCTCCAAACCCTCATTTTAAGTGGCCTTATCTACAATTACCCACTCCTTTGAGCACAATTGGTGCAAATGCTGTCCACCCAATGGAAGTCAATTATAGAGGTGGCTGTGCTTTTCATAAAAGTGTACTTTGGAATGATTTCTAAAAAGGAAAAGGAAAAGTAAGCACTTTATTAGCCCGTGTTCATGAGACTCTCTTTGAGATTCTTTTCCCCAGATGGATGGATTCAGACAGAGCCATCCTTCCCAAGGTCACCCTGGTACCCCAAGGTACATATGCCACACAGCTGGCTGGTGGCAGGAGCACTCTACTGCACTGTCACTTCATGTAGCCCCTGGTCAGGAGAGGAAGGAGCTAAGGAATCCCAACTGCAGCCCTGCCTGGTGAGGAACTTCCTACCCCASAGAGAGGTGTTCTATGAAGGTAACAAAAACCACTGCTACTCAAACTGGGGGAACTAGAGTTCCCTTAGTTTCCGTTTTCTAAATGGGGGGTGGTGATCACCGACCTTTTGAGAATCAGATGAAAGCTATAATTTTCTCACAAAAAGGAGGGCACTGCACAGTGTCCARCAATCCCTGAAGCCCTTCAATTTCTCAATTCCCCACAAGCCCTTGGACCCCTCAAGTTCACTATTCTTGCGTTTATTGAAAATCACGGAACGCCTGACACCTTCAGCCATTACAGTATTTTTCTTAAATAAGCCCTCTGTCCTCATCAACAGGTTACAAGTCTAATCTCGTGTTGACAGGGTCTATTTTAAATGACTCCCTCTGCCCTTCTGCCATTCGCCCGCTCTGTTTTAGGCCCCCTCCCCCACTGCAAGCTTTCAACAGTTTGCAGCCTCTCTCTCCCCCCCCACCCCCACCCCGCCACTCTTCCCTCTCTCTCAAAAGTCAAAGTCTCCGCGCCCAGTAGATAGAGCCTACAGTAGGCAGGGACCCAAGGTTCCAGTGGAGTCACAGTCCGATGGGAAGCACAAACACCCTCCCCKGAACGCGCCCAGCTGGTCTAGCCAGCAACTTGGGCTGAGCGCAGCGCAATCGCAGCCGCTCCCCCGTTACTCCAGGGCGTGTTTCTCCGGGAAACTTGGCCCCTCTGGATTCTATTTGCCTTTCTCCCCTGCTCACACCCAAGCAAACCGCTACTCCCGCTGTCCATATGCAGGCGGGTGMGCCTGGGGAGGCTGGGAGCCCCAGCCGGCTGGAGGGTGGAGTGGGGTGGGGATGARAGTCACCACGGCGCGGGGCCACCCTCCCTCTTGTGACACGGGGTGTGTGGCGGAGCAGCGACTTCCCTGAAGAGTGCTGCCCGCGCGTGTACCAGTGGCTGGGGCGGCCGGGCGCGCGCGTGTCATTCCAGGCAAGAGTTCGGACTCCCGCCGGCTCTCCAAGTTCTCCGAGTGAGTCAGCCCTGGAGTGGACGCGCCTGGACTTGGGGGGAGCCCGAGCACCAGTCCCGGGGGCGACGGGACCTAGGACTAGGGAGGGACTAGTCTTCAGCCCCGAGCGCCGCGAGAGCCCGTGTGTGCGCCCGGCCCCGCGTGCACCTACCAGATGAAGTCGGTGCAGTGGCTGCAGAAGGTGGGCTGCTTGAAGAAGCGGGCGATGAATTTGTGGTCCTTCACTTCGTGCACGTTCTTCTGTCTCAGCGCCCCTTTGCGGGCGAAGCGGTTGGCCACGTCCTGAGACGCCGTGGAGTCGTTGGCCGGGAAAACGTCAGCCATGGTCCCCCCCAACCACCTCTTGCCTCCGCCGGGGAGCAGCAGCCCGGGAGGGCCGGGGTGGGCGGGGGCGGGCGGGGGAGGGGCGGCGGGGCCGCGAGCGACCCCGGGCGGGGGACTAGGGCCGGTGGCCGAGGTCGCTGCGAGGAGGCGCAGCAGCAGCAATCGGGGAGAGTCGGGCCGGCGGGGCGCGGAGCGGAGCCGGAGTGGGAGCCGCAGCCGCTGGCTGGATCGCTGTCTGGATCGCTGGCCCCACGCTCACTGACAGCCCGGCGCCCGGCGCTCGCGCTTCCTACTCGCGGCGGCAGAGGCGGCCCGGAGCGGCGCCGCCCACCGCGCATGCCCCGAGTGCGAGGGCGCGCGTGCTAGAGCCGCGGAGCTGGCGGGGGCGCGCGCGGGGCCAGCCGCTGGGGCTCAGCGCTGCGCTGCTGGGCGGGCGGGACCCAGGCGCCCGGGAAGTCGGCGCCTGGCGTGGTCGGTGCAGCCGGGAGGCGGTGGCAGCCCGGGGAGGGCCGGCCGGAGTTTGGAGCGGAGGAGGAAGCGGGGAGGGGCGGGACGGCTCTCCTCCGCTGCCTTTTTCTTTTCCTCCTTTTCCTCCCCTTCCTCCTCCCGGCTCCCCTCCCTCTCTATTCTCCTCCTCTTCTTCCGCCCTTCTCGCCCGGCCTCCTTTTCTCCACTTCTTCCTCCTCCCACTCCTGTTTGCTTTCCCGCTCTCCTCTCACCTCCCGGCTCCTCCCTCTCTCTCTCTCTCTTTCTGGGACCGAACTTCTGCGCCGTCCATGCAGGCGCCAGAGGAGCTCCAAGTCCCAGAAGGGAGCTCTCCGTGCGACCCTCCCAGACACTCCTCCCCACTTCGCACTTGGGGCAGGTGGCTCCTTCTGCATCCTCCTGAACCCACCACTATTTCTAAGGCATGATGCCCACGTTTTATCAGCCTGTACCAGTTCTAGGTTTTACCTGGCTAAAATGTCACTCTAATCCTGTGCCCCCTAAAAAATGCCCAACCCCTAGACCTTCACGCTGTGGATGGATAGACTACAAGAGAAAGCGATTTAATTTTAAAGACTTGAGCGTCGACCCTCTTGCCCATCTTCAACCGTTGACCTACAATTCACCTACGTATTGTATAGACATCTAATTTGTACGTCAGGTATTATCACCATGTAACATAAAGGACAAGTTGTCCTACTTATTTATCTTATTATTCATGGGCTATAAGAGCTACAATGTTGATTATCAAGCTTTTTTGATTTTACAAGCCCAAAACCTTGAATTAGAAATCATTTTGCATCCTAAGCTAATTACTGCAATACTGGCAGGTGCAGAGTGCAGCCAGAACATTTGTAAATTATCAAGTAAAACTGCTTGTAAAAGAGTAGCTGAAATGGATATGCAAAGGATGCACGTGGGGATGGACCCACGAGTCACTTGCTGAATATTTATTAGGTCTGCTTTGAGGATGCTAAACCACTAAGGGAAGCAACCACCTCTCAGGCTTTCATTGTTTATTTCCAGATTTACTAAGTTCACAAAATTACTTCTTGAGCTAAAGACACCAAGAAAGAGAACACGTTTATATTCTCAAGAATGTTTTTAAAAGAAGAAAACTTTTCTAAGCTACATAGAGTATATCACATCAATTGAGTAAGGCTGCCATTTTTTGAGACTGCCTAATTGTGGTGCTTTTATATTTTAACAAATGTAAGCTATTGACTGACTATTAGTGGYGCACGCACCTGACTTACCTATTTACAATCTGTTGAGCCAAAGTTGTTGGTGCTTCAAGAGACTGCACCTGCTTGATATTCTATCTGGTCAGAAATTTCGCCACTCATGGCAGACCTTTCAGGCCAAGGAGGCAAAAGAGAAAAATGCAGGAGGGGAATGAAGGGCATGGCCATGTCGGGAAAATAGATCAAATTCTGCACAAAACACTATAAGCATCTCTAGCTATGGTTATTACTTAATAATTGGAAATCAAGTGGAGCACAGTGGAATGCAACCACAATTTTCCCCCAGAGCCATCTCTAAGACAGAGGTCCACATACATTATATGAAGACAAGCTTCTTTCCTTTTCCCTGAGGTACCAATGGCCCTCCTCCAGAGAGATGGAGGGCCTCCTGTGTATGGAGTGAAGTGACTRCTCTTAGCTATCAATAGAGCAGATGGAGACAATGTGTCTCTCTCAGGTTTTGACCTTGCTTTCTTGCCTCAGTTATTGTTCCCTGTGGGTGTGGGAAGAAGTGACTGAGTCAGCTGATTGATAGTTGGGCTGGGCCTGAGTACATCCATTGCCTACATCTTAGCTCTGTTGTCAGCTAGCAGGTGGTGTCTTGGTTTGGGGAATTACCAATTACCAAGCAGTATAACTGTGCTTCTGCCAAGGGCTGATGGAAATGGTAGGCCACCTGAAAAGGCCCCAAGGTATAACTAAAAAGAAGATTAAGGAGGGAAGAACCCCTGGGGTGGGGGTGGTCCATAAGTCATGGGCATTAGTAATTATTTTCAAGCATGTTGTTTCATGGAGAAGCTGCAGGAAAAGAACAAGGAATGTTAAATTGAACACAGACTTTGTTATAATATTTTGACTCCCCTGACTTTTCAGAGTAAGCTCAAGACTCTTTGGAGAGGCATCCCACAGACCAGCTGGACCCAGAGGCCTGAGGTTGGGATTAAAGTCAGGGCATTAAACTGGTGACTTAGAACCAGAATGGTTTACTTAAAATGAATAGTCTTAAAGATGCAACTTAAAACTTGTTCTATTCAGCTAAGTAGTCGGTTTTCAAATAGACCAGGCCACTTTCAAATTGGGTGATAGGATAGAAGAAGTTTCATTCTTAGATTTCTAGTAACCAAAATGACTTAGACTTACATTTTATTCTATGTGCTGAATTTAGGGAGGCAAGTCAACTGATGGGATACATAATTGATCAGGCAGCAGTTAGATTCACAGCAAATAATAGGTCTTGAAATAGAGATAAAGTTCTAGCTGAGTAGCAGAACACAAAAGATGGGGGCCATTGTGGGGTGCTTTATTGAGTGAGGTAATACATAATAAGAGCGGGTCAATCGAAAGCCAAAGATGAGTAAGTACCTAGGCTCCCAGGTACAGGGATGCAGGTTGTTCATGGAACAAGAGTACTCAGTCAAGAGAATGAGTAGAAACTGAAGTCCAGCTCACATACTTCTCAACTAGCCATGCACCTTTGTCTTTCAAGAAGGTGTGCCATCTTCTAATTTACACAAAGATACCAGGTGGGCTAGCAGAGGYCCTGGTAAGCATCACAGTTGGATCTGAAGAGCATTGGAGTAAACTTCCCCTTTTAACACTTAGATCCATCACTGCTGGGARCAGAAAGGTGGCAATTGGTGGCATCTCCCCTGCAAGAATTGTGAGGACGGACTCCCTGGGGTTTGAGGTCTGGGATCTTGCCTTCCAAGCAAGTCGTCTTCTAGGACCTCTGTTGTAAAGCATCACCAGTGGCACAGTTGAAAATCTGGACAGGATTCCTTACTTCCTATTCAATCTATGAGGACATCCTTCTGGGCTCTGGCTATAAGAGACTGCAAATCTGTCCATAGTGCCCACCCAGTGGACACTCTATCATCTCTTTTCTGGTCCACTGCAGAACCATTTAACTCATCTTCTTCAGTTCTTGCCCCTTTTCAGTGTGGACTCCACAAGTAGTTATATTTTTTTTTAATATACCTGTTTAAATTTACTTTATGTTTTGAATAAAGAGAAAGACATGTCTTAGATGGAAAGAGACATAGAAATGTCCATTTTTCCCTAAATTATGCCATAAGGCCTGCTAAACATAAGTTGTTATGGTTTGAATATGGTTTTTCCCTAAGGGTTCATGTGCGGAAAGCTGGGTCCCCAGTAGCGATATTGGGAGCTAGGTCTAGTGGAAGGTGATTAAGTTATAGGGAGACCACTCTCATCAAGAATTAATGTCATTCTTCAAGGATTGAGTTAGTGCTTATGAGAGAAGGTTGTTATAGACCAAGGCCACCCCATGCATGGTCGCTTCTGCTTTTCCAGAATGTTATGACACATTCCAGAAGGCCCTCAGCAGAGGCCAAGCAGATAGGGCCACACGATCTTAGATTTTCAGCCTCCAAAACTGTAGGACAAATAAACCTCTTTTCTCTCTCAAGTACTTGGCCTCCAGCATTTTGTTACTGCAACATAAAATAGGCTAAGAAGTAGACAAGCTAATTCAAATGTCCAGATGGAAAAAAATGTAGAAATAAATATCCTACCAGATATGAATTAAGAGAAAAAAGAATAACAAGCCCAAGAGGAAATATAGGTAAATGTCATGAACAGAGGGTTCTCAGAATAGGAAATACAAGTAGTTCTTAAAACATAAGAACGTCAACCTGTCTCATGGTAAGATAAATGTAAATTAAGACCATATTGAAGTCCCATTATGACCTAAGAGTTGGGCATAAATTATTAGAGTGAGGAACACACTGTTTCAGTAAGGGTACATGGGAGCAAATGGTTTCATAGATCACTGATGAGACTGTGAAGTGTCACAGGCATGATAAAGAGCAATTTGGCAATAACTATTGGAATTTAAAATGCCTCAAATACTTTGACTTAGCAATTTCACTTCTGGAAATGTATTCTAGGGGCTGGGATTGTGGCTCAGCGGTGGAGCGCTTGCCTAGCACAAGCGGGACCCGGTTTCRATCCTCAGCACCACATGAAAAAATAAAGGCATTGTGTTGTGTCCATCTACACTGAAAAAAATAAATAAATACTAAAAAAAAAAAAAGAAATGTATTCTAAATGTATATCTGAACATGTGCAAAAGGGCCTATGTATAACAGCAGGATTGATTTGAATGGCAAACAATTGTTAAATGTCTAGCCATAAGAGACTAGGGAGATCAGTGAGGATGCATTCATATGCAGAGTGGTTTGCAGCTATTTAAACAATGAGATCAATTATGCGTACTGATATAGAAATATCTTCCAGATATGTGAGTGAAAAAGCAAAATGCAGAAGTGTGTATAGAATGCTATTGCTTTTTAGAAAAAGAATATATCTAGGGCTGGGG